AGAGTGTAGGGTTTGCTTTGCCTTTGGACCTGAAAGGATTGTTCCTCATTTAAGTATTTATACTGGGACTGAAAATACTGTTAATTGGTATTACTCTGGGCACAGTTTCCCCAAACTTTCCTTTGCTTCTGTTCATTTTTTATGTGTCTGTAATACCTGTCTGTACCCTGAACTGAGGGACTTCATGATGCAGATGTGAACTTGTGGAATTCACTGTACAGATGTGGTGACATTCCTATAATATCTCTTCACCCAGAAAACTACATGATTTTTGTTCTGGAAGAGAATAAAGAGGGATCCTGTTTACTGTTAACAACATATATCTAATTCTTCCCTTAGGCTGTCACTGACTACAATTGCTATTTCAGAGAGATATCTCATTTAATGGAGTTTTTATATCATTATTAACTGCATTTTGAAAGAGAGATTAGTTTTTACACATTTAGATTTTACCCATTTAAAGTATGTGTGTTCTGCACATTGTACATATCACAATATTACCTAAAACTCTTTTGTTTTCTTTTAAGGAGCTACAAAAACCTGAACCTATTGGTCGGACCTTTGTATCTCCAGCTGTAGCAGGACAAGATTTTGTCAGAGCTGAAGGTTTATTGACTTTTGAACCTGGACAAAGAAATACGTTTCTGGATGTGACCCTGACTCCAAAGACAGGATCTTTAAACCCATTTCCTAAACGTTTCCAGGTTGTACTTTCTAACCCCACAGGTGGTGCCAGAGTAGATGACATGTATGGCATTGCTAATGTCACCATTGTCTCAGATTTGGACTCCTTGCCATTTTGGGGGCTGATTGATCAACTGCATCAGCCTCTTGATGACACCATTTTACACAGAGTCCTCCAGAATCTCAATGTCAAAGTGGCTACAGAAACTACAGAAGAGCAGCTTACTGCTGTGGTGCATATGATACATAAGGTAAACCTCTCCTGCTCTTTCTTGAATGGCCAATGACTTTAATTAGGATATAATAACATCTAGGCCTGGGATAAGATCAAGAGTCACAGCAGTGACATGGGCACACACTGCAAGGGTGAAAATAGAAATTGTGAAGTCCCACAGTCAAGCAAAACGTTTGTCTGCCACTTGTTAGGATGGTGGAAGGAAATGAAAAATCAAAGATACTCTGCTGTGGAATTTTTTTCCTTTGGTGCCATGCTTTCAAGAGCTTACTGTGGTTACTTGATTCTCAGGGCACATCTTTGTTGGTTTTAGCCCTGGCACAAGACAATGAGGCCCAAGGTTGGCTCATATCTTCACAGCTGACTGCAGTCAACACACAAGCAGGTCCTACCAGGGCCATCTGGAGTCTGCTGTGCTGTTAACCAGGCGTGCAGCTTGTCTGCTCCCCTGCAGTAGCTTTGGGAATTGGGTTGGTGGAGTAGCAGAGCACTTCAGCATTACACTAAGTCCTGTGAGGACACTGGGAGTTGTTTTATGGCTTTCTGGCTCTTCTAGACTTGTGGAAGAATGCACAGGAGCTGGCAAATGTTTTAATAGCTAGACACAAAGCAGAATAGGAGTATTCATGAACAGCAGTTCATTTGTGATTGTTACCATTTTGACTCAGAAACCAGAAAATAATGTCAAAAATTCTCAGGACTCAACAGTCTGTAATTTGTGAAAGAACAAAAATTGCCACATTTTTTTTTAATAATGAAATACCTTGTTAGTAAGCATATCTTTATGTGCTTTTGACATCTTATGCTTTGGCAGCAGTAGCCAGAAGATGGAAGAAATATTCTGAACTTTCAGAATGAACACTGGGGATAAGAATGGAGCTTTTAGTAAAACGTTCAATGTGAGGAAATGTTATAAGCAGACTTCTGTGCATAAAATCTTTGATTTCTTCTCCTCTCATTAGGTTACAGATGTAGGTGAAAAACAATTACTCTCTGACAGAAGTAGAAGTCTTTTCTATGAGATACTCTGTTCTCTGGCTAGCCCAAAACGTGAGGACACACGAGGATACAGCCTGCTTGCTGAGGTGACTGAGAGGTTTGCTTTTTCCCTGTTGCATGGGATAATGTGTGGATCACCAGGAGAAAGGTTAGTAAACTTGAATTCATGCTGTGTTTTGGAAATAGGTGATGACTTAACAATACAGTCAAAATTTAAATCACATTTTTAGAAAAGGGGATGGTCTGTTGTCTGGTGTGTTACCTCTATGAAAATGTCTGACATTCCAAGAAGTGTGCTGGCACCACAAGCTGGTGTCACAAATAACTGGGTAGCTGTGGGAGTAGGAAACAGGAGATCTGGCATGCATTAATTCACCTTTTTCTCAGGTATTGCCTAGTATTCAGTAACCTCACTAAGAAAATAATATGTAATTGTATGATGGAGAGCTATGTTGTAAGACTTGGGTGAGAATAAGTAACCCAAAATTTGTATTCTCATTCTGTACTTTCTGTGTGCTTGGTTTTGCTCATTGAACATGATTTAAATTTTTTTAAAAGCTACTTGTAGCTTTTCCATATAGTTTCAAATTGCTGTTTTTGTCTGCAAATGCATTAGTAAGCTGTGGTCAGGCTGCTGGACAGGGGAAATAGGTGACTGCAGAAACAGACAACACCTCTTATGAGAGAGGTGGTTTTAAACAGTGGGTCTCACTGTGGTCTCCCTTTTCTTGTGATTCCCTCAGTTGTAGGTGGCATGAGGCAAGATTATCCATTTTAATGCCTTGTGGGCTCTTTTCTACAGCAAGTTATAAAGCTGAGTATGATGATAACCCAGTTTACAATGATGGGGCTTTGATTTGCAGATCATAGTGAGCAAAACCCAGAGGGGAAATAGAGAAGCTGAAATACATAATAATTCAGCCCCTCTTTTCTTTCACTGCAACTGTCAATTAAATGTCATCAGGCCTACAAATAATGGAGGAAGAAAATATTAATTACAGAGGCATTTTAGAGTCATTCTGTGAAGAGCAGTAAGTTCCACTTACCAGCCTATTGCTTTTCATTTCAACAGAGGTAAAAATATCCTCGACAGCTGCCCATACATTGCAATAATGGCTCACAACTGGTTTCCTCAGCAAATCAATGGACACAGCTTTGATGGAAAAGATGGAGATTCTATTCAAGTACCTGAACATTTACTAGAAGTCTCTCTTGTATTATCACCTCCTCAGGAAGAGAGCTGTGAATCTGTACAGTTCACAGAATACAGCAGTCAGCAGTGGTTCCTCACTGGAGATAAAGAGCTTGCCCTGAAGAATAAGGTTTGAAGATAATACAATTTGTTTTTTCAAGAAATTATTTTCATTTCGACACTGCTCACAGCATCTTAATTTTATTTAAAATGATGTGAACATTTTTATGCGTGCCTCTGGTTAAAATAAGACTGTTGCATTTTAATACTGCAGTTGTTTTTACATTTTATGTGTTGTTTCAGGTTTTTTCCATGAGTTTGAAGGGTCGGAGTTCACTCCCTTTGAAAGATAACAATGAAGTAATTTATAGAATTTATGCTAAAGGAAGTCGAATTGTTCCACAAAAGTCTCTATGTCTTCTCTGGAATCAAGCTGCTGAAAGGTCATTTTATTAATCTTCTTAATTTTCCAGTTTCTACCACAAACCTGTGTATTTGCCCAAGTTGTGATCACTCTGATTAGATCTTTTGCAGGTAGAAAATTGACTAATTTCATACTTGTCTTTTTTCTTTAATTTTTCTGGCCTTTGTACCAGCACATAAAGCTTTCTGTGTAATAAAATGTGCAGTTACTCTAGCTCAGACCTTTCTCAGACTACTGCTCTTGACTGTTCACCAAAATGCCATCTAGATTATATGGTGATGTGTTAGGCAACGCTGCTAAGCCATTAATCTCAGAATTGCATCAATTAATCTATATTAAACACATTTTACAATCGTTATCAGGCAACACTTCAACCAATACATAAGTAAAGAATTAAACGTGCATCTTTGATATTGCTTCAAGTCACTGGCTCAAAATGTTCCTAACTTGCTAATATACACTCTTCTCTTTGGTCCTGTGAAAGACACTGTGGAAATGAACAAAAAAAAATGTTCAGTATCGTGTCTCCAGTGGTGTCTAAAAGTAAATGCTCAGAGAAGGGTAAGACCAGGACAAGCAGAAACAGCACTTCGCTTCATATTTTATTCTTCAGTGAATCTATGAGCTGAATGTGGTTTTGTGTATTTCATACCCTACATGACTTCTTGACCACAAATTGTCTAGTCTTTCCTTGCAGCATCCAGAATTTAGCACATTTTTTGACGCTGAGCTCTATGGGGCTTTTAATTTGGCAGAAAAGCCATCTCCTGTTGTGTTGTTTGGGTTTTGTTTCCCCCCTAAATACTGCTGCTAGTAGCTTAAAGTGACGTTTCCTGGTTTTTTTTAGAAGAAATAGTGAACTGCTGATCATTTTTCATTCTTCTTGCTGCTCCTACCATTGCAAACCATGGAGTAAAGTTTTCTGTGTATGGTCTTCAGCGCCCCATTATTTGATTAGCTGTGTCTTTCCTGTTCACACAGTAGAAATGATTTTGGAGAGAACTATATTTTGTGTACTGCTGAGATCTATTTGGTTTAGATAGGATTTCATTAGACTGACTGTATTATATCAATCTGTCACTGAAGTAAACTATTTCTCTTCAGAAAGGAGGTGCAGCAGATTGAGTATGCTCTGCTTTTGTCTAGACACTGTATCACGCAGCAGACATGATCTTCACTAGCAATGGCTTAGGATGTCACCTGTAGCATCTTTTTTTTTCCAAATCAGTTTATGCTGAAAGAAAACAAAACAGAAATTTTAATTGCAGAACAACAAACAGCAGTATAAAATGTTCTCCATAATGGGGTAAGGTATTTTGCAAGTTAAGCTACAAACTACTTCAAAAGTTAGACAGACCTGTAAACATTGCAGAAGTTTTAAAAACATGGCCACAAAAATCCTCTAAAGGAAAAAAAAATGTTCATTGTTATATACAATTACAAATGAGAAGTTTTTAATATTGTAGTAGTAAAAAATAGCTATAAAAAACATTTTAATTTCATATAAATCTGCTGTTCTGAGGACTGCACCTGAAGGACTACACGAAACATGGGTGCAGTGGTTCAGAAAACATGAGGTTTCAGAGACAGAACAAGAATTTTCAGGCCTGCTTACCACATAAATTCCACAAGTCCATTTCCAGCTTTGTGAATCTTTTGTTTTGCAGCTGGCTGTCTGATAGTGGCTTCTGCAAAGTGGTTGATGACACGTCAGACTATGTGGAATGCTCTTGTTCTCATATGTCCATTTATGCAGTTTATGCCCAAACAGACAACTTGTCTTCATACAACGAGGCTTTTTTCTCTTCTGGATTCATCTGCATTTCAGGTCAGTTAATTTAAGACAGTTTTCTCATTAATAATAACTAATTAATTATAATTTTTA